AAGCGTGCTTGGTCAAATTACACACTTCTGTTGATACACTGCTGGATTGCTTCCTAAAAGGAACAGGGAGACTTGAATTGCTTTTCTATCACTTGGAATAATTTTAATAACATTGAAATTAACTAGTTTTAGATAAAACTCACCCTACTATGAATCCATCTGGCCCTGATGTCTTCTCTAGCGATGTACGATTGGTTGATTTTCCAATTTGTTTCCAACTTTACAAATTGAGGGAGGGTTATTTTTTAACCTGTTTATATCTTACTCATGCCCTCTTAAGTTTTTAACTACTTTGCCCTCATTAGCATGTAGCAGTCACTTCTAATTATTTTAACATTTCCTATGTCTTTTTTCATTCCTAATGGTGCATTTTCTTTATTTTATGAACCTAGGAGGGGGGTTTATTTGTCTTATTGGTCAAGAAAAATTATCATCTTTGACTTGTTTATCCCTCATTTGTTTTTCACAAATGGTAAAGTATAACCCATATTTTAATCTTAGGGAAACATTCTAAAGGATATTCACTTCTGTGTATATCCAAAATACTATATATGTACACACAGACACATTTATATCCAAATATATAAACATTTGTAACATTACTATGACACCAGCAATTTGGTTAAATATTTCCCTTTAGTCTCTATGGAAATATTTTACATATCTTACGATAAAATTAACACCAAAATAGTCACACTAATGGAAGAAGGTGGAATGATAAATAGCCTCAAAGGTGATGAAATACAAAATCCTATACACTTGACCCTGTCATGAGCACTGTACCTTGTGACAACTAATAGGAAAGACAACATAGGTCAACCAAAGCCTTTTTGCAGTGCTGCAGCAGCTCAGAACTTGAGTCTGAAGACTGACTTATCGGCGCACAACTGCAAGAAGGTTAGTGAACACAACATGTTTTGAGATGAAGCAAAAAGCACAGTTATACAATTGAAAGCAAATTTTCTCATTGAGTTTACATAAAAGTTGAAGTGATGTCACACTGAGAGCAGTTAACCTGAATGCTTTTGAAGCATAAACAGACTTGCAGGGAGCATAACGATGCCCTCCTGACAACTGTCATGCTAGGTACAAAGACCCAAGCCTGGGCAGCCTCCCCACCAGCACGCAGGCATCAGAGCACTGCAAGGACAGGGCTGCCCCCGGGGATGGTGCAGGAAAGTGGTTTTCGATGCAAGTGGATTGAATTAATGATGAAATCATGAATGGAAATAACGATGAAATAATGATTTCAATGATGATATTTGTATAGTTGTATTTTTCATGCTTCATATGTATATACACATATATGTCAATATACAGATCTCCCTCAACTTGGTATCAGACCTGAAGTGAGTTCGCTCACCCATCCTGCAGCAAGCCAATCTCTGACACTGGATGTAGTGGAAGAAAGTAGGAATTTTATTGCAAAGAGCTGAGCAAGGAGAAAAGGCAGCATCCTGAACTCACTGAAGAGCCACAAGCAAGGGTTTTTATTTGGGGATTTAAGTAGGGGATGGGGAGCATGCGGCCTTGGGGGCTGGAGTTCTGAGTCCTCCGGACAGGTGAGACTGCCTGCTCCATGTGTTGCATGCGGTAGATTTTCAGTCTTTGACGTCTAAAGTTCACAATTGGTCATTTTAGCTTCTGAAGGTTGCTACGAGATGCTTAGTCAGGTAGGGGGCTGTTAGAAAGTTCCTCTCTATCAGCCGTCCTCCTGCTGTTCTGCAGGGTAAGCTCAGAAACTTGGGTTATTTTGTTTCCCACATTAACCTTGTGGGCACAAGGCACAGTTTTACCCTAATGCAGGGAAATTTTCACTCCTTCATCCTCAGTTTCAGACTTACCTGGGGTTAGTCCTGATAAAGGTGCTCAGAACACTTATATGAGCCTACAGTCGGGCAAAATCATCTAACACAAGCCTGTTTTATAAGGAAGTGTTAATGGCTCCTGTAATTTACTCAATACTACACTGAAAGGGAAAAACAGAATGGGTTGTGTGGGACAGAAGGATTTTAAGTGTATCAGCTGTTTAAGCCTGTGATTGTGTGGCGGACTGGGAGCTGCGGCTTGCTGCCCTGCCCAGCATGGGGAGAGAGGATCCTATCACATACTGCGCACCCAGGAAGAAGTCACAATTCAAACTGTGACGGATGGTTTCTACTGAAAGCTATCGCTTTCGCACCATCGTTAAGTCAAAAAATAGTAAGTAAGTCAGGACCATCTGCCTAAATTTTACATTTGAATTAAAGTGACATGAGAAAATTTGCATATCGCAAGGTGGACCCAGCCTCCTCCTTGATTTGGGTACTCTTGCACAGGTTCCTGCTGCTTGACTTCAGTGAACACAACACATGGGATGGAAAAAAGGAGAGAGAGCTTCCCGCTAGAGATGGTGTCAAACAAACATGTACCCAGTTAATCTTCCTATGAGCTGGTTGGTGATGGCTTCCAGAGACAAGGCCTGGAGCACCCTTCTGCAGAAGTCTCCTGTCCATAGTGTCATTAGTCGCTCACCAAGGCACGTGCTAGAAGAAATTGTCCTGGTCACTGATATCAATGAGAGACTTTTTGAAAGAACCTCTAGAGAGTTCTGTGAAAAAACTAAAAACTGCTGGTTCATGTAATCCAAATGGAACAAAGTTCTGGATTGGTCAGAGCTAGATTAAAAAGGAGCTGCGGTGTCTAAAAGGCAAAGGATCACCTTCATGCTGTGAGCGTACAACAGAGTGGCTGCAGCCTCCCTTAGCCTGAATCAGACATGACAGGACAATGGCAGTATGTCTTATCAATGAGGTGATACATCACGGATACTTTGGAGTAAATGGCAGGGTAGGATGTGACCTACATTGTATTCAACTGGAAGCTCAATTCTTGCTGACAACCTGTTCCCCAAAGAGAAGGAGGACTGAGGAGAGTTGATCGGATTCTTCTTGTCAGACCATCATCATTGGCAAGAGCCCTTTTTCAATAGACAGAGATTATCAGAGATCATAGATGCTGGCCCTGATATCAGTTCCCCTACATTAAACCCAGCATATATGGGGTTAAAACCAAAGCACTCTTTCCCTGCTTACTCCCTGGCTCCCTGGCCCCAGAATGCACTATCCGCCATGGAGACAGATAGCCAAGGATAAGCACCCAGATTCCATATCATCCCCTCCCTCCCCGTAAGCAGTGTCCCATGGCTGAACACAGGCTGGTGGAAAAGCTCCAACCAGCAAGGCCAGTGATCCTCCTCATCCATAAGCAGCCACACTCCTCACAAACCTTTAAAACCCCTCACCTCCTCTCTTTCGGGGGGATGAGATGAAACAAGTCTCACTCTTGTCTCTCGGCTGATGTCACCCAAAATAAAAACTCTTTCCTTGCCATAGGGCTGGTGTTCCAGTTTTTACTTGGCCCCTCTTGTGTGGTGGGTAAAAACCTATGTTTGTAGCTGGTAACAATTACTTTTAAGAAATTGGAATATATCATGCTTGCTATGGGTTGACTTGTGTCCCCCATAAAAGATCAATTGGAGTCCTAGCCCCAAGTACCTCAGACTCTGACCTCTTTTGGAGATGGGGTCTTTATAGAAGCAGTCAAGTTAAAAAGAGGTTATTAGAGTGGGCCCTAATCCAATATGATTTGTGTTCTTATAAAAAGGAGAAAATTTGGATAGGGCGAACACTGTGTGACAATTGGAGTTGAGCTGCCACAAACCAAGGACTACCAGAGGCTAGGAGAGAAGCCTGGAATAGACACATCACCTGACCCTTCAAAGGGAGAATGACCTGGGACCGTCTTGATTTCACATCTTCACAGCCTCCAGAACCGTGAGACAATAAATTCCTGTTGTTTAAGCCACTCAATTTGCGGTGCTTTCTTATGGCAGTCGTAGCAAATTAATACAGTGCTGGAATGGATATTTGAGGAGGAGAAAACCTAGAAATTTCCTTTAGTGTTGGACACTGTTGACATACTTTGGAAATTGTTACTTGCTTACACCTTGGATATGTGTTTTGGAAATCTACACTTTATATGTTTCCGGGAGGCACAGGGAAGATTATCAATAAAAATAACAGATAACCTGCAGAGTTTGGATAGATGAAATCAGGAAATTCTTGTATATAACTTCCCCAGATGTTACAAAAGTAGATTACAGAGCTAGATCAACAAGATTTGGTCTAAGACACAAACCACAACGCAAACCCTTTTCCTGGTACCCAGAGAATATTCATCCCGATTCTCAAGTTCCATGTCACTATTTCTTTTGGGGAGAGATAAGAAATGTGGAAACACATCAATGTCTGGATAACACAGCTAGAAAAGATAACGAAAAGCTTGGAAATTTTATCGGTCATGATATGGGATGTAATCAGGTCTTCCCCACTGCCAATAACTGATGACCTTTGCTTGGATGTTTCCAAACTTAATGGCTTGACCATAATATTCAAATGAGTATTGAATCAAAAAGATTCAGTATCATGAACAAAACATTTTCATAACTCAAAAAATATATTTTAAAAGACTTTAAAGGAAATTAAATCAGAACTATGAAAATATAATTTGTTATGGTATCAAATTTCTGTATCAGTTTTGCAAGCCTCACTGGGGAAACATAGCTGATTCCAGTGACATTCATTTTGTTTTCATTTGTGATACTCATGTATGCTTTTTTTATCCTTTGGGTGCTGATATTGAGCTGAAGAAAAGTGGTTCTTCTTAAATAGTTCATTTCTTTCTACATTTCAAAAAATGTATGTGGTTTGCGGACAGTTGAAATTGTCATTTGTAATTGCCTTGTGAGAAAAGGAGATTTGACATAACGTCTGGTCTCAACTGAACAAGTTTGATATCTGGGCTGCTCTTGGGTCAACTGGCTTGTAGATCCCACCCCAACACACACACACACACACACACTCTCACACACACTCTCTCACACACACTCACACACACACATACACACACACACACACACATACATACACAGACACACACATACATTTCTTGCTGCATTTTTAATTTCTTAACTTGATTCAACTGATTACGCTTAATACTCAAGATTCATCCTACAAAGTACAGATTTGTTTTTACAGCAATAAACCTTTGTTTTTAGTTTATGATTATACTCAACAAAATGCTGGCAGAAGTGATTTATTATTTGAGTATTTTGAGATGATGTATTTGACAGTTTTTTGGGAAAACTTTTCTCACTCCATACTCAGATGGGCTACATTGTTCAGATGTAGATTAGATTGAATTATAATGATTGTAATGTTGATCTGTTGCCTTTTTTAAAAAATTAAATTTGACTGAAAATGTTAAAAAAATAAGGCCTCCCAAAAGACACCTAAATTCTAGTCCCTGTAAATGTTACTTATATGGGAAGAAAGGGGGGGATGTGCAAATGTACTTAAATTAAGGATCTTGAGATGGGGGGATTATCTTGGATTATTTGGGTGGATCCCAAACGCAAACGCACATATTTTTCTAAGATGGAGGCAGAGGAGAAGTCCTGTGAAGATAGAGAAGAGAGAAACTTGAAAATGCTGGCCTGCGAGATTAAAGTGATGTGGCTACAGTGAGGAATATGGCAGCCACCAGATAAAAGAGGCAAGGAGCTCGACCTCCCCCTCCAGAGGCAGCGTGGCTCTTGCCAGCACCTTGATTTTGGCCCAGTGATACTCCTTGTGGACTTCAGGCCCCCTGACCTCTGAGAGAATAAATTTCTGTTGTTTTAAGCTACCAAATTTTTAGTAATTTGTTACAACAGCCACAGAAAACTAATACAATTACCTTGCAGTTTTTTCCCTTATTTTTCCTCTTTCTACCCACTACTACAATTTCTGTACCTGTCTGGAAACTATCTTTGCTAACTTGCCAGTAACTATTTTTATTTCTCAAGTTTAATAAGCTTTGGTCTCTATTGAGACCAGCATAATTATAATAAACTCTAAGTAAAGGCCAAATAAACAGGACTATATACATTTTACACATGCAGGTTCTGTGAGTCAGAGAAATTAATAACCAGTTCAAGGAAACACGGAGACCGTTGTGATTCAAATATCAATTTACACAACACAAGTGACGCTGTTCTTTGCATTTACAACTACAAATATCAAAAATTACAACCCAGTAAGTGATGGCTATATATATTTTCTATAAAAGATACTTATAAATTCTTATCCAGCCAACTAATATACCTATCTTTTATCCTGAGACCTAGATGTAAATGCAGTGGTGATGTCATGAACAATAAAGCTCCATGAATTCCATCTTCAAGATGGTCATGAGTGACTTGAACTCCAACATTTTGAAGTCTGGAAGTGTACATAAAGCCATCATCTCTCACGAGATCATATTGACAGGTAAGAATATAGGTTGATGGCAAATTCCGTAACTGGGAATCATTGGCCAGCAAAGGTGATGCCCTGATATCCATGAATGCCGGAAGTGAATGATTACATCGTCCAAGAACTGGTTCAGTATAAACGTAGTCCTTTCTGTACTTCTTGGGTAAGAGACTACTCCAATTAACAAACTTGAAGAGATGTGCTGATTCCAGAGGCATATGTTGGTTTCTCAGGACTGCCAGGGATAATGTTTCACTGGCTGTGAGATATAAACTTATGAGTTTTATGCCTGTTTTCCTTGTCAGAATTAAACCATACTCATTGTCTCGGTGAGCCGGCAAGTAAGAATCAATCAGCTGTAAACTAGGGTAAAGCAATGCTTGTAGCTTGATTTTATGTTGTATTTCAAGATTATTCTGCACCTGAAAAAACATGATGATAAGACAAAGACTTCCAAAACACCAAGGAGAGTTAATTTTAATAATTTAAGCAATCTTGAGGTAAACAAATCTACATAAGTTGTTGGATGTTATAATTATTTTCACAATATTGATGATGTCTTTCAGTGGCATGAAAAAATGTGAAGCTCATTTCAACAGTAAAGTTTAAAAAATTTTGGTTGTGTGTGTGAAAAAGAGAGAGAGATACAAACTTCCAGTGATAAAACAAATAAGTCCTGGGGATGTCATGTGCAGCATGCTGACTATAGCTAGTATTACTGTATTGTATATTTGAAAGTTGCTAAGAGAGTAAATCTTAAAGGTTCTCATCATAAGAAAAAAAATTGTAAATATAAGTGGTGATAGATGCCAACTGGACTTATTGTGGTGATCATTTTACAATATATGCATATATCAAATCATTAGGTTGTACACCTGAAACTAATGTTATATGTCAATTATACCTCAATAAAATTTTTTTTAAAAGGCATATAGCTGAAGGTGAGGCACTATTGGGTTATACTCAAGAACAATTTGGGGGTCGGGAAGCAGCAGCCACAGTGAGCTCCTCAATCCAAGGTGGAGAGAGAAATAGCAGCAAGCTGGCTCCATGACCACAGTAATGGTGTAAAGCACGGTTCGATCTGCTTTAGCAAATCGGTGCCTTAACATCAGTTGAGTTGGTGCATAGCATGAGTTTGGTACAGCGGGCAAGGAGGCAAAATAGAAAGAGAAAGAGAGAGGGAGATAAATACATGCAATGATGTTTGTGTCAAAAATCACCAATGGAAACAACCTAAACATAATAGTCCTGGGGGAAATCGACAGTACATAACAGGTTTGCAAAAAATTCTTGACTGAAAGTAACCGAAGCTAACAGAATAAATAAATACAACTATTAAAATAATATTTCATTTTAAAATCTAAGAAATTCAAAATAAATAGTATTAAAACTACAATTTAAGTTTAAAATAATGTTATTTGGCTATTAAGCAAAAGTTCCCAACATAATACGATAAATTTGAAGAAACATTATCAAAGTGCAAAAGCATATAAAACAAAAAAAAGCCAACAGATCTGTAACTTACATTCTGAAAAAATAGTGAAGTGTTTGAGAAACAAAGGGATAAAACTATGAAAAACCCTTATTGAGATTCACTAAGTTTGATGCGTAAGAAGAAAATGAGGCATATTTGACCAGGAGCCCTTTTTCCTCTCCAGAGGTGAAGGGTGTCCTGAGGTCTCATTGACGACCCTGCAGACTGGAGAACAGAACCTTGAAATCATCTCCAAGGAGTAAGTGTGTCAGCTGGAGGGTGACATCTGAGAAAACGGCATCTGGACCATGAAAAACCCCGGTGCAGCTCCAAGTGAAAAGTCCAGGACTGGAGGACTTGTCTCTAAGTCAAACTCTTACCACAGTGGCTGGCTGAACCCCGAGGAGGGAATAAACTGAAATCCAAGAGGCACCTCGGAGGGGAAATGACAACCTACCACCTCCCCAAGGCGCGCCCAAGATGCTAGAGGTTTCACAAGTTTTGAATGAGAATGAGCTGGGACAAAGTTTCCTGACAAAAACTCCCCTAGATGGCAAGTCTCTCCCAAAGGCCCTCAGGCAGATGATTTACTGAGCAAAAGTCCTCTATCAACATCCCACCCTCGGAAAACGTCCCAAACCCAGGAAAAGAAACAAACAGCGACCACACACCCATGGGTGGGGCGAAAAAGAATCCACCCACCCCTGACCTAGCTTGACCTTCCTTTCTGGGATGTCATGTGAAATAAATTGCTTTCCCACAAAAGTGCCACTATTTGTCAGCTCGCTGTCCCTATGATGTCATTTGTCGTTTTACCATTCAATACTTTTACTTCTCTCTCCGCTCTCCTCCAAAACTCATTTCAAAGTCCGCCCCTCCAGATACTGGAAGAACACCTGCTGATCGGATCCTGCACATCTGGCAGTTTTGCCCTAGTCCGAATAACTATGTGATCAGTCTGGTGTGAATCTTTTCAGATACTTTCTACACATTTTATATATACTTATAACCATATATGTGTGATTATGCATGTAAATACCTGATCAAAGTTAACTTACCTTTCTCTTGTCTACTTTAAACTTCCAAAACTCTTTACCTCTTTCAGGCCAATGATCACTTCCCCTGTTCTTATAAAAATGTACATAATGGATCTTTCTACTGGATTTTGAATAGTATAAACGCTGACTCAATATCTAAGTTATCATCTCTCTTAGTGGGTCTAAGATAGCAAAATGCTCAATAGTATGTGAAAAAATAGAAAAATGAGTGAATGAATATTGCTTTCAGTTTATAATTCTTTTAAGAAGACACTATCTTTGGAACCAGAAGTCATAAGATGCAAGAAGCAGTAACAGGTATATATAACAAGTAGGCCCCAACAATAACTCTAAATTATTGAACTATCGATAGCTTAGTTCTTTACTTCTAGATTCACATAGACTCAAAGATAACTAGCTATTCAGAGAGCAAAGGTGTAAATAAACGTTAATACTGAACCATCAACATTAGTACTGAAAAAGCCCTGAATGGACCATCATATAGAGTGGACATGAATATCACATGAATGGATTTGTATTCCTCATTTTGTAGGCAACTCATATGTACGTGAGAGCAAAAAATATATATGTATAAGGCATTCATCTCAGGATGTTATTACTTTGAAACAACAAGAATGAAAGTACAAAATCAACAAAGTTGAGAGAACGTATCCTGCTTGTGGAAATATCCTTGAGGTTTAGAAACATGTGACTAAACTTAAATTGTTCATTTACATTTTTTATTACTTTTTAAGTATAATAAAGACCTTGGAGTAACTCAGCCATTAAACGGTTATGAAAGATATTCAACTAAGCCCATCCTTATTCTTAATCTTTTTCAGTAAATAACATTATTTCAATGAGAACACAATGGATATGATGCATTTGAACTTTCCTTTTATACTTAAACACCATTAATCTCAAATTTATGATATTTAAAGTAAAATTCTCCCACGTAAATTATTCACTGTCCTTCTTTATTAGACCACCCAATTTGAAGCAGGACAGATTGTATGACTCAAAAAGACTAGATTCCTGGTAACACCATGTCCAGGTGCAATACCCAATACCCATGTCCAGGTAAACACCCTGGATTTATAACATATTAACTCTATGACCTTGGACAAGTTGCTTCACCTTGTAAAGCTTCAGTTTCCTGATTGCTAAAATTGATGTGACCTTAGTAAATTTGGCATATGGTTTTTGTGGGGGTGAGGTAACACGTTTATAGCACAGTTCTGGGCATACAGTAAACACTCAGTAAATTCTAGTTATACTTCTTATTGTCATTGAAACAAATGTAAAAGGAACCCAACAGCCTATCCTTGGAATGCTTCAGAAAATGTTTGTTGATCTTCCAGCAGGCAAACCATAGGAAATATTGGCTCAGCTCCATCTTGTTTGAGGATGCAGAGGCGGTGTCTGAACTGGAAAAACACTTTAATAACTCCGGTACAAACCCTGGCTCAGACCGCAGAAGCCTTCTGAAACCATAGGCTCCCCAACTCCATGTAAGTCTTTTTTTTTTTTAAAGATTGGCACCTGAGCTAACATCTGTTACCAATCTTTTCTTTTTCCTTCTTCTCCCCAAGCCCCCCAATACATAATTGTATATTCTACTCGTGAGTGCCTCTGGTTGTGCTATGTGGGATGCCACCTCAGCACGGCCAGACGAGCTGTGCCATGTCTGCGCCCAGGATCCCAACCAGCAAAATCCTGGGCCACAGAAGCGGAGCGCACGAACTTAACCACTTGGCCACAGGGCGGCTCCCCCATGTAAGTCTTGCTGTAAAATGGAGGATCATCATCATACACTGCTTCTTTTCACCATTTTAATCACTTGTTTAATCTAGTCTGTTATCTAGTTCTTCCTACTTTCATTTCCCTTATTTCTCTTGATTAGATGTTTTTGACTGGCCTGACCTCCACTTTCAAACACAAACCTAGCTCCCAGAAGTTTACTTTGGATCAGAAGCCACCTACTTTTCGAGAAAGCATGATTGCTAATATTCAATGAGCAATTGCTACAAGTGAGACATTCTGGTTAGTGTTTTACATGGAATTTCCTCTTGCATATATCACGGAACACTAAAACCCACTTCCCATCAACCTACCTGACTCTTCTTTATTCATTAGTCCCCAGGCTGACAGTCCCCCAGGCTGTTGATTCCATCGCTTTTTATTTCACTAATTTGTCCACTTTTCTCATTCCTACGGCGGGCATCCGGATCCACAACACTATTCGTTGCTCAAACTATTGCAATTCTTTCCCTATGCTCTCCTTTCCATCCTTTCTCACCTTCCAATCTATTCTCCATTTTGTGAGAATAGTATTTTTCAAAAATACAAACGTGATTAAGACTTTTCCATGACTTCACAATGCTCTTGGAGTCAAGTAAAAGAATCTCACAAGGCCCTTCCATGACATGCCCCTGCCAACATTTCGTACCTCATTGCTCACCTTCCTTTCCTCTGATGTAACGTTTATGGACTTCTTTACTTTATTTGCACCAAGATCCGGGGGAAGAAACAAACAGTGACTACATAAACAGGGAGCGGACAAAATGAATCCACCTACTCTCCTCTCAAGAAAACAGCAAAACCAACCTGATTCCAAAGATGAGTAATTGGGTGCTGCTCATTCCAGCTGTGTGCAGGGTAGTGTCTTTATTTATCCTCTAAATTTTTTCCACAAAGACAAATTAAGGATAATCTGTGAGACTGTGTTCTGTTATGCAATGGGACAGGTTTAGAGAAAGTAGCTAATCAGGTAAAACACGTTGAAGAGAGGCAGAGGTCAACCCTGAGATATTCTGAAGGGTAGAGGAAGAAGATGGGAGGAGCACAGGCACGATGTCAGGGTTTGGAGATATAAAGATTAAAAAAAATTATTGTCCCAGATTCCAAA